CCGGAGCCTGCTGCTGGCTCCCGGGCCAGGCGGGCGCTTAGCGTCTCCTCCTGTCCCCGCCCCCACCTCTTGGTCCTGCCCACTCATCAGCAAGCCCTGGCCAGGGTCCTGGGGACCCAGGCTGTGTGGGGCCAGACCCCACCTGGGAGGCCATGAGGGTCACCTCCCCCTGTCCCACCCCAGGGGAGGCCTGGCTCAGCGCAGGGGGCTTGTTTGCCAGGATGGGCCTCAGCCTGGGGCCATGTGGCTGGTCGTGGGGAGGACCCTGGCGGTGCTCCTCCTCACCAGGCCTCTGTGCTGGAGGATGGGGGTCCCGCAGTGCTGCCTGTGCCCCCCGGGCCCTGTGTAATTGGTGCCCTTTGCGTTGGCCAGGCCGTCATGCTGGGCATGAAGTTGAAACTGCAGCTAGAACTGGATGTTGAAAAGGTAAATTTCTCATGTAAATTGTTTAGGTTCTTGGATCAAGCCCAGGTCTACAGAAATGCAGTTTGCTGGGGCTGGGAGGTCTCCCACCACCAAGCCCTGGACTTCCACCAAGCCAGGGTGGGGAGGGCAGGGCCCGAGAGGAGGACCAGCAAGGCCTGTGCCTGCTTCTGAGCGGTCGGTGGGCCCCCGGGTACCGTGCGGAGAACCCACCAGGCTGTCCTCCTCTGCAGTGGCACAGCCCCGAGCCAGGCGCAGCTGTCTGCTCAGTGCCTTGCTGCAATTTCCCTGGAACTTCGGGCTGGGCTAGGAGGACGGCTGCCCAGTGCAAGAGCCATGGTCACCCCTGCCCTGGAGCAGGCTACAGGCCTCGCTGGACACTCAGTCCTGTGCTTCTGTGACCTTCATCTTGTCCACTGTCTTCAGTGGGTCAGGAAGGACAACCATGCTGTCCAACTGGGAATTTCAGGACAGATGACACAATCCCTGAGGCCATGTGTCCACAGGGACAGCAGATGCCAGCCCTAGACTCAGACCCTGCCCCGTCCCAGGACACAGGCAGTGCCTGCCCCAGGCAGCTAGCTGGCTAAGGGAGGGGGCTCCCTGAGGAGGGAGGGGTGTCTCCTCCACAAGGCCTGCAGGGCCGTGCCCGGGGTGGTGGGGACCACCCAGCACGTGAAGCAGGACTGTGGATGCAGACTGAGCACTGCAGGAGTCTGTGGGCCAGAGGGTCTGCTTGGGGCTGGGGGTTCCTCCTGAGGATTGTCCCCCTGGAATCCTGCCTTGGAGATGCACATACCCCACCCCATTCAGTCTGGGCTCCAGACAACCTGACTTGTGTGGTCTTGTGGGGGAGGGAAAGGAAGGTGAGGAGGGGTCTTGTGCAGGATCCCATGGAGGGGGCTTTGTTAAGGCCTGGTTCTTGCTGGGGGAATGGCCAGCGTGTCCCAAGGCCCAGTGCCACAGTGAGGGACTCCCTCTGGGCCTCCTGGAGGGCCCAAGCAGCATGGAGTCTTGTGAGTTTGCTGGCTCTGCAGGTGTCATGAGGAGACATTTATGGGCCACCAGGGCCACTGCTGGATGGTTTGTCTCTGTCCTACGTCCCACAGCTTGGTGAAGACGAATGGGTGACAACCGAGCTTCCAGGAGGCCCCCTTCCCTCTTGGGGCCTCCAGCGCTGTGTCATGGAGATAGGGATGATCACAGAGCCCACCAGGGACAAGGCCCAGGGAGCCTTGGGCCTCTGTGCACACGTGTGTGTACATGTACAGGGCACAGAGCACAGGCTGGCGAGCCACTGTGCTCTGGGCATCTCCCCAAGGTGGGAGGCAGGCTGCAGGGACTGCCCCCAAGACCTGTCAGTTCTGACTCTCCAGCCACCCCCTCTCTGGGGTGGAGGTGAGTCTGGGGTCTTGGCCAGGGTGGTGAAGGCTGCAACTGAGAGTGTGCTCCCCTGCAGATGAGTGCCTCCCTGCTCCTCTAGGACAAGGTGAGCTTCGTGGAGCGCCATGTGGCCAGCCTGCCAGGCCTGCAGAGGAGACTACTGGTCCTCATGGACTCCTGGTGCCGGCCTGGCTTTGACATCAGGGATGTCACCCGGCGAGTCCATGGGTCCCTGGCTGCTGGCGCTGAATGGCCTCCTGGGAGCCCAGGCTTAGGGTGGGGGCTGGCAGGGCAGTGGGCACAGAGCTTTCTCCCAGGGGTTCTTGGTGTGTCTGCAGCCAGGTCAGCTGCGGCTGTGGGAACACAGCTCTCCACTCCCAGGCAAGAGTTAACTGCTCTTGGAGGAATGAAAATAATTCTCCATGGCAGCTCTTTCTTATGCAGTCCTGGAAGCCTAGACTCCTGTGTTTGTTCAGTCGTCTGATAAAGTTTCTCGGAGCACCTGTCGTGTGAAATCTGTCCAGCAGTTGCAGAGAAAAGGCACCATGCTGACAGGGAGCCAATGTGGGTTTGCGGAAGCTGTGTGTGTGCGCACGCGTGTATGTATATGTGTGTACAAGAATTGTGTTTGTGTGTACAAGTGTGTCTGTATGTGTATACAAGTATGAGTGTATCTGTATGTACAAGAATGTGTGTACATGTGTACAAGTGTGTGCATGTGTCTCCGTATGCGTGTACATGTATGATTCTGTCTATACAAGAATGTGTGTGTATGTGTGTACGTGTGTGTCTGTGTGTGTCTATGTCTGTGTATACAAGTATGTGTGTATCTGTGCGTGCATATATTCATGTGTGTATCTGTATGTATGAGTGTATGCGTGTGTGTGCACATGAGTGTATCTGTGCATACAAGAATGTGTGTATAATTGTGTGTGTCTATGTATGTGTATGTATGAGTGTATGTGTGTAAGAATGTGTGTACAGGTGTGTCTGTATGTGTACAAGTATGTGTGTATCTGCACACATGTTCATGTGTGCGTATCTGTGTGCATGTGTATGCATGGGTGTACACGTATGAGTGTACATGTGTACAAGCATGTGTCTGTGCACATATGAGTATGTACAAGAAAGCATGTGTGCGTGTGTACAAGTGAGTGTTTCTGTGTGTACATTTGTGTCC